TGTGGAATATTTAACTTAAGGAAAAATTAAGTATTTCAATTATTATCTTTGTATTTTTTTGTTAATTATGTACAAATAAGAAAATTTAATAAAAGAAAAGAAAATGCTTTAAGTTCTATTTTTTATGTATTAATGTTTTATGTATTTTTAGTTAGCATTTTTATGTGCAAAGATTTTAACTAAAGAAAAGAAAATAAAATTGTTCAACCTTTAAGAAAATTAATATTCATATCTTTTCTTTAAAATGTAATAATAAAAAAGGAAACAATTAAGAAAATTTGTATGAAAATGTGTTATTTTTATTTATCAAAGAAAATATTAATTTAGATTATATATAAATTGGTAAATTGATAAAAAAGAGGAATTAGTTTATAAAAAGGAAATAAAGGAATATTTATGTTCAAAACAAAAACAAAAAGGAGAGGATGGGCTTAATGGGGTTTATTCTGGCCCAAACAACAAATGATCAGAAGAAAATATGGGGGGTGTAGGCCAGGTTTTGATTGGCTTAAGCAAACGAATGGGACAAGGCCCAAGACAATTGACACAAATTTGTAAGGGTTTGCACATTGTTGTTTCATTTGGAGTCTAGGGTTTGTGAGTTACAGCGTCGTTCATCACTTTTGCTCTTCGTCTTCTTCGCTTCTCAAGCCATGCTTCTGAACAGCTTACTCTTTGCCTAAGGCCAACCGGCGCCACCGTCCCTCCTTCTCCCTCCGTGGACCGCTCAGGCGATGTTTACAAGGTAGCGATTTCTGTCTCTATCGCGTTAGGGTTTCAAGCTTTTATGTCTTGCATGTTTTACTTTTCGTTTATTGATTCTGTTTCTTATGTATTGTTATTCACACGAGGTTTTGAAAGGAGGGAGAAGAAATACTACCTTTATTGGAGACGGAGGAGGACGGACCGGAGGCGCTCAGGGTGGCCGGACGGAGGGATACGCGTGATGCTCTGAACCTTTGCTACCTGGTATCTTTATTTTTGTCTTTTAGGTTTTGTGATGAGCTTCTGAAAACCTTTAGCACGACTTTCTTTTCCTCTTCTCTTGTTAGCCCCGCCTTTTGAATAGCTTGCTTGTATGCTTGTATGCTTATTCTGAGTTGTCTTGATGATGTTGTTGAAATGTTGGACCCTGTGATGGCTTATTGCTGGACCCTGTGATGAACACAGTTCTGAGGGTCCCTTTGGTTCTGATATCTGATGCCTCTGAGATGCTTGGCTTTTTAGGCTTTGGTTGGATTTTGAGGTTTTTTGAATCAGGTTTAAGGTTTGACAGTTTGTTTGTGCTTCTGATTTGAGCCTGGATAAGTTTAGGCTTGAGGCATCCTGTGCTGAAAAATAGGTTTCAGGCTTGAAGCTTTGAGGCTTGGCTTGCTGTTTGTTTATGCTGGTTTCAGGCTTTTGGTCGTATAGGTTTGTGATTTTGGGCTTGGACAGGTTAAGCTTGTTTTGGCCTTGATGCAGTTTAGCAGGTGAAGGCTTTTGTGAGTTTTGGAGCTTTACTGGTTTAGGCTTGACAGTTCAGGCAGGTTTGATGTTTTGAATGTTTGCAGGCTTAGAGGTTTGGTATGCTTTGAGAGCTTGTGTTTCTGATTTCCTTTGGGAGCACCGGTTGAGAGGCAGTCTTGGATGCTTTTTTCAGTTTGTGTTATTTTCTTGTTATGTAATCTGCCCTCCTCTCTTACTGTTCTATAACCGTTTGTTTTATATCTTTTCTGTCTTCAAGCCTGCTGTAAGCCTATTTCTCTTCTCTCTTCTCTCTCTCCAGATTTAAGCATTTTTTATTGCTTATTGTACTTTTTTTCTGAAAAAGCATCTGGCTTGGGAAATGATGCATTTGAAATGTTTGCTTGCACACTAGTTTTCCTCTGCATACTTTGTACTTCTTGACAGCTTTTTGGTGTTTGATATCTTTCCATATCCTTTTGGAAAGCTTTTGACATCTTGGATAGTTTGAACTTGTGAATTTCAGTTTACCTTTTTGGTTTGGTTAGGCAATTCAGTTTGGACTTCATAGTTGTACATGCTGTTGGAAACTTTTGGAATTATGCAGCTTTTGACAAACTTTGGATTTGTGCAATATTGTAATTTGTGCATTTCATATTTTATTGCAAGTACTATTTTCATCCCTCTTTGTGAACCAAGAGAAATCTTGTGATTTGCAGAGAGAGCAAACTGATTCCGGCCAGTTGCTTTTAATGATGAATCCAATTTTTATCTGTCTGCTCTTTAATTATTTTATTTGCATTTGACTTTTTCTTTTCTTTGTTTTGCAGATAAAAATCAATGGAGAGGAGTAGCAGTAGAAGATGAAGATTTGAAGACTTTTAGGACATAACTTTATTTCAATTTAAATTATTTGTAATAATATTAATGTAATTAACTGTAAATAAATTTACAGTATTTAAATAATATCTGTAACAAACAATTCAAAATGAATAAACATCCTTTTTATCAGTTAATTCCTCTTTCAATTTACTGTCCAATTAATTATTTGAATTTCTTAAATTAAAATAACTGAAAGTATATAATTATTCTGACTTAGAAAAATAATTAATAAACACTGTAGTCTTGCCATTTAGCATGAATCAATAATAAACCTGACGCTCCAATTAAACAATGCACAGTTAATCAAACCAACATCCAGATACTTATCTTTTTACTGATTAAATCAACACTGCAGATTCTCAATTTAAGTACCTCAGCTTTTATCTCATCTCAAATTAAATGCCTTAGCCTTTACTGATTAAACAAAATACTGCAAGTTCTTGATTCAAATGCCTCAATCCAAATCTCAGAGTAAACTGAAAAGAACTGTAGGATTAATTCTTTCCGCGCGCACAAACCCTAGTCCTTGGTTAAATGTCAAAGAAGCGTCCGCCTGATCCAAACCTGAGCCAACTCAACCAAACCTTAGCAATCTGCCTGAACTGCTTTAAAATCAATGAAAACCCTAATTTTGTCTGACTGATAAGAAAAGTCTGTTTGACTGATTCTTACGCCAATCTGAAAAATCAGGAAACGCCCGAGGCTGTGATTTCTTGTGGAAAAATACGAGGGTAAATTTTGGGGTACAACAGTTATCGTCTACCAATAAATAGGTCGAGCACAAATTCCCACACTTGTACAAAATACGGAAAGCATAAAACACCAAACAATATCTAATGCAATTAAACATGCAAGATAAGTGTTTAATAAAGTCGACCACGAAGGTCGGTATTGTCTAAACATTACATAAAGAAGGGAACACAGGCCTAAAATACAGTCAGATACACAAAAAATGGGTAGGGCCCCTTGTCCAAAACATTAACAAAAATTTTGGCACGTAGGTCGGGTAAATGCACGGGCGCGCAGGCCCAAAGTTAAAACTAATCTTCGCGCCCATCCTCTTCATCGTCCAACTCTTCCTCGGGGTTATCACCGAGAGGAGGAAGGACAACCCCATCAACCACTTGATGAAAAGGCCCTGTCTCTTTGATTAGGAGATTGACCCCGACATTGACAATTTTGAGTTGCTTCACAGTAATATTGAAGCCATACCCAAGGGTATCCACCACGTTCTGCTCGAGCTGGCGAATTCGGGCAATCATCTTTTTCCTAGTCTGAAAGGCCTCCTCCTTGACAGTTTCCTCATCAGCATGCGCCAGGATCCCCTCCAACTCCTTTTCTCAAGCATCCAGTCCTTCACTCTCCTTGGTCATTGCATCCATCTTCTGTCTCAGCTCGTTCAACTTAGTAAGGATCCCGACTTGAATCTCATATTTAGACTGATGGTCAAGCAGATCATTCTTCATTTATTTATTATGCACCTTCAGCTTGTCACTTCAGGCATTTGCTTTGTCAAGGGCTGACACTTGGCTCACTGTTGAGCAGACCCAATTCAGCGCCTCTAAGGCCCAATGGCATCTAGCTCACGTTAACAACCGTTGGGGATTTCCTCAAGTGCCTCTTAGGCGAACGTGGCCAACAACTATCCGTAACCACCACAGTCCTGCCCACCGAGAATAACGGATCCAACTTCTCTATTATATCAGGGAAGTTAACCAGGGAGGAGGCCACATGTTGGACTCCACTACACAACTTCGTTATTGGGCCTAATTGCTTGGTCCAATGTGTGGATCTTGGCCCAGCACTGGGGGCTATAAAGTGAGAGAATCAAATACTCATTCTTTCTACACTTTCATTACTTGCACTTACTCTGAACCTTACTTTGATATCAGAGTGTCTTACAAGTACCCCCATTTCACTTCAACATCATCCAATTCTAACTTGTGAACCATCAATAACCCTTTCTAGTCAGACACGATCAAGTTTTAAATAGAAACATAAATAAATCATATCACTATAGTAATTTAACTATCCATTATTCGTCTCATTACATAGTTGGCTAATAGCCTAATACTCAAGTTATATATCATGTCATTATCAAATGATGTCATGGACTTCTTATAACTTACGAAAACTATAGTACCTTCGTTGAACCGAATAGTCCAAGCCTAAGAAGAGTAATAAAAATTAGGCAACCGAATTTGAAAAATTGAACTTACATCAAATAAGTTTTGTTCTAATGGAATTATATATTGATGACTCCCATCCAACAAAAAGCAACCAAATCCTTAACTCTTGCCAGCTTTCGAATCCTTCACGTCTTCTCTTTGCTTCATAATGTTGCATGTATCAATGTATTTGATCATTTAAATTCAACCCATAGAATATGCAAAATCTACATGACAGATAAATATACAAATGATTGAACAAGCACACAAGTCAAAACCTAAAAAATAAAACAATGTTTACGTATCATTTTATAAACATATCTTAGTGTTGAAAAATCCTGAAATCCTCCGTAAACCTAGCTGGTCAATGCATTAATAATCAAGGTTCCAACTCATTTTATCACATTAAAGCAAAATCTTAGCTGTCAAATACCCTTCACACATTATATCTATAGCTTTATATAACTTCACTCATGATATCTATTTCTTTACCTCACCCCATTCATGTTTTTATATTACACCAACATGGAGAATATTCACATTCACAATAGTAATAATAATCATGCAACTGCAACTGAAGAAACTATTCTTGAGAATGTTTGGGCTAAAATTACAAGCAATGGTGATGGAAGAACAAATGGAAATGAAGGTGAATGTTCTAACACATGGGAAGATTTGCCTAGTCTTGGTGAAAGAGGTAATGGATCGACTGAAATTCTTCAAAGACTACCAAGTTTAGGAAGATGGATATCAATGGGAGCTGATTTCTGGGAAGAAGTGTTAAGCAACACAGAAGATTTTTCTAGCAACAAAAGCATGGAAAAAAATGAAAGTGTTACTAAATCAAAGGAAAAAGTAGAAGATGTTGTCGTGAGGAAAGAACAAAAAAGAGTTGAAAAACATTATAGAGGAGTAAGGAGAAGGCCATGGGGTAAATATGCAGCTGAGATAAGAGATTCTTCAAAGAAAGGTGCAAGAGTTTGGCTTGGTACATTTGATAAAGCTGAAGAAGCTGCTTTAGCTTATGATAAAGCTGCTTTGAGAATTAGAGGTTCAAAAGCATGTCTTAACTTCCCAATAGAGAGAGTTACAAATTCAAATACAAATACAAATACAAATACTTTAGGATGTGGTCTGAAAGGAAATGATGATGTTAGAAACAGTGAAAGGTTGTTGGATTCTAGGAAGAGAGGATTAAGGGACAGGGAAGAGTTTGTTGATGTGATGAATATTGAAGAACCTGCAACAAAAAAGATGGTAGGGTTGGAAGAAATGTTGGAAAATGATGTTTTTGTATTTCAGGACCTGGGAGTTGATTACTTGGACAGTTTGTTGTCTTCATTTTGACAGAATATAAGTTACATTATTAGTTTGTCTTAATTGCTAGAAATATTATAGCAATGCTTTTACTTATTGCATATATATTTGTGTATTATATTTTTGTTAGGATTGTTATCAAACTGAGAATTTATGTAAATGTAGTTTGGTCCAGTTTATAAGATTTTCAGTTCACATTCTACAAAGATATAAGGGTTTAAATTTTGCTGCAGACGTGAAGATTTTATTAATGAATGATGCAAGTATTTTGGTGAACTACACTCAACACGAAGGGGTTGTTTTTTTTTTCCATGATGTTACTCAAATGGAGCCTTATAGAGAGGATAACTTATCTTACAACAACACATGCAGACATTGCCTTTGTTGTGCAACAATTAAGTCAGCATGTTTCACAACATATAGTTGGGTATTACATAGTTGCCATTTGAATATCTCAATAATTAAAATCTTGTCCGACAAAAGGTTTATTTTATGAACACAAAACTGATCTATCTTTCTCTAGTTTTGTAGATCTGGATAGGGTTACTTGCCCTACAATAAAACATTCTGTGACAAGATGCATTATCTTTTTAGGATCATCTTTAATTTCATGGAAGTCTAAGAAGTAGTCTATGTTAGACTTTGTATTGGTTGGTTGTTTAGTTACTCATTTATGGAAGTTACTAGCAAGTAACATAACACTTGTATTTAAGGTTTATCATATCAATAACATAGAAGAACACTCCATTTTCACTAATAAGTGGTATTAGAAGTCTGATGTTGAATCTATTAAGAGTAAGTATTTGTTTTATCGTATCTATATGGAATGGTGCGATATCAATGTCGTTCAACCATTATTATGATTTTAAGCGGAAATTTGTAAGATGTTTGATGGTTTAAAGTTACAAAATGTAAATCAATAAGTGGTAGATAAAGTTTCAGAGATATAAGAGTTTGTCAAGATTAAGTTTCATCCACCGAAAAAATATGTAGTTTACCAATCACTTATACACAATCTAAACATTCTTCAATATCATCAGGTATCGCTCACGACAAATTTTATATCTAAACTTCTGATGAGATTTCAACCTTATTGTTTAAGCGACAATCTCTAAGCCTATTAAACAATACGATAGCATTAAGAATCGATATTTTCTGGGAATGTTAAACTAAATTTATGTCTAGAGTTTAGAATCTAACACATGCTCATCTTAGATCAAGATTTGAACCGTATTTCTCAATATCAATTCAAATCTATAAATTTAAACAGTGAAACAAAGATAACATCGATATCAATTAGTAAATAGATTGCATATAACACCATAATCAATAAACTGATCTAGCATGTGAACATAGTTATTAATCGTTATAATCACGTATTACTCTTCAACACCGTTTATGTCTAACTGTTGTTGCAGGTTTTACTGTATTGTTTAATCAATGATCTCTCTATCTATTAAACAATACAATAACATTAAGACTTGATACAAGTGAATATCAAACTCCAAATCTATGTCTGAGAGTTTGGTCTTTGATAGATGATGATCTTAGGTCAAGACTTGAAAGATATTTCTCAAAAATTATTCAAGCCATAAAAATAACATGAAAACATAGATAACATCTATATAGATTCATAACTAGTTCACAAAATAATAATCAAAAGAAATACATACGGTTACGGTGAACTACATCCAATCTCAACAAGAAAAGGGTTTAGCTATTCATGGTAGCTTGATACAAATAAGAAGAAAAGAAATGAATGAGCATCAATATTGATTTCCTGACTATTGATGCGAATTCAGCTTACGGTCTTCATGAATCACTATTTCCTGATGTTTGTCATATTTCTCTATCTCTAAAATGGTGTCTAAATCTGAAATTAAAAACTATATATACAAATATGATAAAGCTGACCGCGCTTAGTCCCAGATTTGACACTAACTGTAGCTAGCAGACAAACAACTTAAAATGCCATAAATAGGACTGAGTCTCAGATTTGGATAAGTGTCGTATCCCAAATTTTCCTACCCCATTTTTAAAATATTCAAATTATTTTTAAACTTGTTTCATAATTTTTTTGAGTATTACTCACATTTGATTTATCAATAATTTATTTTTGATTATTTAAAATGTATAATAATTTAATTTAAATTATTTGTATTTTTAAAATAGCAAAATATTTTCCCAATTCCATATGCTTCTATGTGGCTTTTTGTCTCAAATAAAATGACTTAGCACAATAAGTAAGAGAGTAAGGCTTACAAGTGGAAGGTCTTGAGTTAAGTCTCATTACACTATTTTTTTTGGTATTTATATTCTTTTGTGTGTTTTTTTAATAAAAAAGATTAAAAAAAGTCATTTTTCAATTATATTATTATTATTTTCGTTTTCTATTTTAAGCGTATTTTAAATTTATTTTTTTAAATCTTTGATTTTATACACTTAATAGTCAAAATGTTAAAAATAATTAAAATCTTCCAAAATCAATTTTTGTTAATCACAAGTCAATCACAATATTGAGAAAGAATCACAAAAGTATCTAGGTTCAAATCTTGTCCTCTAAGTTTCCATCAAGTCTCAATTGGTATAAATCTTCCCAAAAAATCATTTTTTTATTATTAAATTATTATTTTTCGTTTTTTTAATTAATAAATTTTCAAAAATAGTTTTTTCACTTTTTTCAATTTTTTATGAAAAAATAACCAAAAAAATCATATAAAATATAAAAACAACAAAATCACATATTTGTCACTTTCTGATTGGTCACATGTTGACAAAACTGATTTCTCATTGGTCAGAATTTGTAGACTTGCTGACCAAAATAAAATCATAAATTCTAGATTTTTCTTGGTGTGGACTATTTCCTTTTTGGGGTGTCTTTAATCTAATTTCAAATCTATAATATGACTCTCTTCATCCTAAATTTTTTATCAACAACCATTTAGAGGATCAATAATCATTTGCAGATCAATAATTCACTAGAGTTTTTCTAAAAGTTGTTGCTCTTCACATCGAACAACTACAACAACAACTAAACCCTAAGGTCTTCATTCCATCATTAATCTGAAAGAAGAAGGATCTTGTATCGAAGAAATAAAAGGGAATCTTGCACCGAAAGAGAAAGGAGAAAAGCATAAAGAAAAGGAAAAGAATGATGGAGGAAGCATCTTAATTTGGTCACAACATTCCAGGTTGGTATTTTCTTATATCTATAAGTATGTGTATTTATATTGTATTTGATGTAGATTAGAATTTATTCTTGTTTGAGTTTTGGTTTGATTGTTTGATTGCTATTTGTTTTGTTTATGGTTTATAATATTTATGTTTTTTTATAATTATTTTCACCTTTTCTTTTATAAAAAAACTTTTTCTCCAACTCTAAAAAGATATTTTTTTAACCGTACACTTTTTTATTATTATTATAGAAAAACCTTTTTTTTCTAAATCTAAATTTTTTCTTTCTAACTTTTACTTTTCTTCTTATTATTAGTATTAAAAAAAATTTATCTTAATTTTTATTCATTATTAAAAATATAAAAAATAAAATAATAGAAAACTACAAAAATCTAAAAAATGACTTTAGTTTCTTTTGAATAACAAAATACACTTCAGATTTAACTTTTACACCCCTCCTTTAATTAATTAATTTAATTTTTTAATTAACTTATTCTATTTTCTTCATTTAATTAACATAATATATATATATATATATATATATATATATATATATATATATATATATATATATATATATATATATATATATATATATATATATATATATATATATATATATATATATATATATATATATATATATATATATATATATATATATATATATATATATATATATATATATATATATATATATATATATATATATATATATATATATATATATATATATATATATATATATATATATATATATATATATATATATATATATATATATATATATATATATATATATATATATATATATATATATATATATATATATATATATATATATATATATATATATATATATATATATATATATATATATATATATATATATATATATATATATATATCATATTTTTAGCAATTTGCATTAAATTATAATTTTACATATTAATAATAATTATTGGATATTTTATCAAAAATACTTAATATATTTTTATTAATTAGGAAAAAATAGTTATTTATTTATTAAATATTTTTTAAAACACTAACCCTATTCTTAATTGCATTAAAATCTTTTTCTCATTCATTTTTTTTTACATATTGCATAAAATACTCTAAAATAGTTAACCAATCAAATGCTAACCCTTTTTCTACTAACATAATAAAATCAATATATTTTCAAAAAGGATTGCGAGTCTATTTTATATTATTTACCAACTGTGTCTACGATTCCGCTATTTTGAACCCATACTTGGTTCAAGAATTAATTCAAAATATTTTCACAGTCCATAAAAAAACTAACCAAATACTACGAACTACGAATTGTGACTTTGATTCCTCATAAGAGGATACATAGACATACGACTTAAAAACCGTGGCGAGTTTCCCTAGTTAAAAAATTAAAATCCTATCCTACCCTTTTAACCTAAACCCTAGGACTTCCTTGAGAACAAGATAGATGAGGGGTGCCTAACACATTCCCTTCTTCTAAAATGAAGCACGGCCTTAGAATCTCTGTACACTTAGGGTTATTCCATTATTCACCCGTCGTTAGGACAAAAAATAGTGGTGGTGACTCGTTATTTTTTGCTGGTTACGACAGCTGACGACTCTCCTAGGGACTTAACCCTATGGTTTAGAAGCCTCTCCTTTTTGGGTGTAGGGTTTTTGTTAGGGTTTTATATTTTTGATTTTTTTCTATATTTGATTATTTTATTTATTTATTTGGTCTATGTATTTATTTTATATTATTTTCATTATCATATTTTATTTGTGGTGGGATTTTAATTTTGAATAATTCAAACCCTTAGGAAGAAGGTTCGTCTATTGGCCAAGGGGATATATCATCCCTATGAGGTTTTGTGATGACTTCGACTAGAGTCGGTGGAATTCCAAAAAATAAATATGTCTCAAGAGGTATCCTCTTGGGGGATAGGACTTTAGAATGAAACCTATGACTCTTTGTATAACCCTAAACCAAAATCTTACGGTGAGACCTTGTACGACTTTAGAGATGAAAGTTTCGGTCTACAATGAGGATCTTCTTAAGGGGGGGCCTTGTGCCTTTCACTCTAGTGTTATCCATGATACCCTTAAGGAATCCCCCTTATGGGGAGGGTAGAATATCCGTAGGCCAAAACTAGGAACCTATGTACTAAGGAAACTATTGTCATCCCATCCTTCATAGGAAGCCTTCCTGCGAGAGAGATTCTATTGTAATTTTAAACCTACGTGAGGTTACCTCTTATCATTATTATACCCTAAACTCATAGGGGTATTCTTTGGTGGTAGTTTATAGAGTTTTCTATTTAGTCATAATCTCTAGCATATAGGGATCCCCTTTTGTTTGTCATTATCCTTAGAACCTTTATAGAATCTTGTTCCCCATATAGAACCTTCCACGAAGGACGTCCTAGTTTATGCACGCCACGTGGCCTATATCAGGTCATGGGATTTGGTGACCATTGATCGGTCACCATGTGCTCTCTTCCATGCTATTCCATCAAGTCCAATCTTTATCCCAACCGTCCATTGGTCTATCACAATTCCTAGCCTGTAGGAATTCCCATCCCTCTGTTACAATTCCTACCTTGTAGGGATTCCTCTTCGTCTTTCATTGTCTATAATCCTTAAGGAGTTCTGGTCTGTCTCAATCTCTAAGTCAGTGTAGGGTATCCTCATTTCCACGTCTATCATTAAACCCGTATAGGGTACCCTTATGTTTACCTTCATACTACTTCCGCGTCGCACTGTATATCTATGAAACTTTTTTACATACCCTTAAAGCCAAAAATATTTTTACATACCATACATTCATACATACGAATTTCCATCTTCGCCCTTCTTCAACTATCATCCAGCTAACAGATTGCCCGATACTCAAAGAACAAATTCCAAGTATGCTTCAAGAAAGTTTGAAGGAACTCAATAAATTCATAAGTTGTTGAAGGAGAAAGTCAACCAATGAGCTTGGTCCTACAAATCTTGTTAAGGAGAGAAGGCAACCCTTCATCATACAAGTCAAAGGCCTACAACGCCTCAAATGCAACTATCATTGGTGACTCCTCCATATTATGAGCAACTGCCATACTGGAAGAATATGTATGCCCAAGAAACTTCAATGGTCACTCCCATGCTCTGACAAGTCCAAGAACATCCAGAAGCTCTCCTAAAGTCAAGAGGATCAACAAAGAAGCTCTTCCATAGGATCATTAGATTTTATCAATTTCAATTTGTAGTTTCCAAGTTACTAAGTTGTATTCAGTGTAAATTTGTATCTTTTGACTAGTGATTCAAATAAAACGAGCAGGCATGTTTTTGAAATCAATCCATTCATTTCACTCTTCCATCACTTTCCATAAATATCAACTATTCACTTTAATATTCCATTTCACAACTTTAACAAACTTTGAGGGAGAATGATGAAAACTAAATAACTGAATTATGCTAAACTATGCTTTCAATAGTAAGACTGAACTGACGATGTAAGGCATTGTTTCACTTCCTAAACAGTGGATAAATAAGGAGTTAATCTATAGTCAACCCCCTCGAGCCAGAAGTTGGAGTTCTTTGTATTTTCAAAAAAAAATCCTTAATCATAATTGTTAGAACATAGTTTGATTCTACAACCCTTGATTAGAGTTTTGATGATAACAAATACAAAGAACAAATATGCACCCTAAAAATTATGTTATTTTGTATGCAGAAGTTCTGACCAAAGCAGCATCAGAAGATAAGCTATAGAAGCTACATGCTAAAGCAATCAGAATTTGCACCGAAGATTGATGACCATAACCTGCGCTTAAGTAAAGTAAACTATGATTCTGAACAAAAGCATAATAATCTAAGTCATCAATATGCTGAAGCATCAGCAGCAGGCAAGGATGAAAGATTCTGAAGCGTTACTATTCATTCAAGACATCATCAATTACAACGACTTCATTCAGACAGGATCTTCTCCATATGGAAACTGAGTGAATGACATTTATCACGCTTAATGATCAACAGGAATCCATTTCCTATATAAACAAGCTCAGTGTTCAAATTGTTCATGATTTTGCTATATACTACTCACGAGAATTCAAAAACGCAAAAAGCTTACTCATATTTTCACGCTCTAAATCTGTGTAAATTATCACAGTTGTGATAATTATTTTTGTAACGAAAAACATCTGTACACACATTCTTGTATCTTTGTTTAAGACAATGTTCCTTGACATTAACCGGATTGTGGTTGTACTCAAGAAGACTTTAACAGTTGTTAAAGTAGTGATTGTAATCCTTTTGAGATTAGTGGATTAAGATCTCGTTGGAGAGAGGCAAAATCACCTTGACGGGTGGACTGGAGTAGTTTGAGATCAAACGAACCAGGATACAAATATTATGTCATTGCGCATTTGATTTCAAGTTTTCAATTCAACTCCCCCTTCTTGTGTTTTTCACTTCTTCAATTGGCATCAGAGCGCCTGGTTCTGAGCTTAAACACTTAACCGTGTCAGTACAAGATCCAAGCTTCATAAAAACACTATGGTGGGACCAAGCCAAAACATCAGTAATGACTACCATGAAGGCAAGGACAGAATCAGTGGCAAACCTCCAGTCTTTGATGGAGAAAACTTTTGACTACTGGAAAGATAGAATTGAGAGTTTCTTTCTGGCCCATGAAGCTGATATGTGGGACATGGTAACTGATGGATACACACATCCAGTGGATGGAAGTGGTCAGAAGATAGATAGAAAAATGATGTCTGACCAGCATAAACGTGACTTCAGAAATCACCATAAGGCTAGAACAATACTCCTCAGTGCTATCTCATATTCAGAATATGAGAAAATCTCAAACAGAGAGACAACCAAGAATATGTTTGACTCTCTGACACTACAAGAAAAATGATAGATTGGGACGGTTATTTTGGCTGATTACGACGGTTTAAACCGTCGCAATTTACAATCTACGACGGTAGAAGTACCGTCGCAGAATCGTGCGTCCCCAGCCTATTTCGCGACGGTTGCAAAAACTGTCACGCACAACAGATAGCGACGGTTATATACCGTCGTGAATTTGACTTTATTTTTTGTTTTTGTTGTTGTTTGCGACGGTTATTCTACGGCCGTAGGTTAGAAATTGCGGCGGTTTTAACCGTCGTAATCTGATTTATAAATTTCAAATAATATTTTTATTTAAATTATTATTTAGTAAAATAATTTTAAATATAATATTATTTTACTATAATATTTTACTATTATATTTAAATTATTATTTACTTTAATATTTTTTTATTTATAGTATTTTTATTTTATTTTCTATCACTTTTCAACATAATAAAGTTAATTACAATAAAAACATTTAATATCAAATAATCATCAATAATATCAAAAAAATGTGATCAAAGGTAAAAAGAAGTGCAAATTGTACCAATAAACAAGAAAAATTCAAATATCATCAAAGGCCAAATTTCATTTTAATATTTACATTGGTTTGCTACAACTTGAGAGAATTACAAAAAATGTTACAATATTCTACAAAATTCATGAAAGTCCTTAGTGTTAAGTGATTTTGTGTTAAACTTCCATGCTAGGACCATGATCCTTCCTTGACTACCATTTGGTCCAAGCTACGCATACCTAGCAGCCTGCAAGATTCACACAAAACATATTTTTGCACCCCAAGAAAAGAACAGCTATAGAAAGCACATTTATCTGCATGGATTTTCGCAGCTTTGGCTTGTACAACGTTAATCACGTCTAATAATACTGGCATGTTCAATGTATTCTATGAATACATAAAGTATAGAAATGAATTAATTCAATATACATTATGCTTTAAATAAATACAATTATTTATATATAATTTACCGTAAAAGTTATTCCCTTTGCAGCAGTATTGCTTGCTTTTATATCGAAAGTAGCATTTTCATGAGAGCCCCATTCTATACTTGTGGACTTGCTACCAGCTCCTTCAAGATAAATGCATGGTTTGTTTTTTGGAATTAATACTTGCTCTCTGAACATAAAACAATTTTTATCATCAATAATTCAATGTATAATAAAAATGTAGCATACAATTATAGTTTGAAAAAGAAGAAATACTTGTAAACACCAGAGGATATTTGGATATGAATCCATTGAGAGTTTCCTGCAGGGACAAAATCAATGGCACTTTGAATTGTTTTGAAATTTGCTTTGCCTGATTGACTAACACTAATGCTCTTCAAGGGATTGCTACAATCATCAGATTCACAAACATCAAATGCAAGAATTACAAATATTAAAATGAAAGCAAATGATTGCAGGGACTGCATTTTTTTCAAATGAGTTTCCTCACTGTTGTATGCCATCTACAACATGATGTTTATAACAGTAAAACCTGCACAACAAGATGTGAAATTTCTTATTCAGGTTTAGGGTGGAAAATTGTTGAAGGAGCTATCCTTGAGTCATAATTAGGTTTTGTAACTTGTAATATATGTCAGGTTAGTACACTTGAGTATCACTTCCTTAAGGCTATCTCCACTGTATTCTATGTACATATTGTTTTGTGCATTCTTCAAGCACTCATGTAGTTAGGCTGTAAATTTTATCAAATAATTATCTGGTTAGGATGTCTAGCATTTGTTAACTTGTGTACTGTGGTCACTGTTTGGTGATATATTTTAAAACAGAAATCTACACCGACCATAATGGGTTCTCAAGTCGTGAAGTACAGAAAATTAAAGCCCACCAATCCTAATTCTTTTAACATGTCATACCAGTTTCACCCTGGAATCACAAAGAGGGGGGACTTTAACATTCTTTTGGTCGATGCCGAGAACATAACCATCGTTGTGGAATGGGCCTAAGCTCTTACAAGCGACCTAAAGCCATGAACCGAGAGCATAACCCAAGTCGAAAATGGATGAATCGGGTTTGATTAATTTATGTTGTCTTTGTATCTGATCCAATTTGAACACCGAGCAAGCCACATAGCCGAAGCATTGAGTCTCTTTGTAGAATAAATCAGGTGCTCCGGTCCCAACCACCGATAATCTTGTTGTTGCTTCCACCATAACTAGCACAAATGACTATATCTAACTTGCCAACAAGAAAGCAACATTCTCTCAAGAGTCTTAACCTTATATCTGGACTTCTATTTTGTTCTTGTATTGTTCCTCGTCGGTGAAGAAACTCAGGGGGCCTTTTGCTATTTGGGTGTTTCCATTAATTTAAGGTGTATTGTGGCTCTTCCATTAATTCAAACTCAGAACTTAGAACTTATAAATCAAACTCAAACTCAGAACTTATAAAATCAAACTCATAACTCATAACTCAAACTCAGAACTTATAATTCACAAATTGAATACATTTTCACTTATAAACTCAGAACTTGTAAATCAACAAATACATTTTCTTGTCTTCAATATATCTAAGAAAAGAAACATTTGGATTTTTGAAGAGTAGAGCTCATTCATCACATATATTTGCAAAACAATTTAGGGTTTGAAAGGGATTTAGGGTTTGAGAAGACAAACCTGTTAAGATTCAAATTGATGGTGGTTGCTTTGACGGTGATTCGTAGTGACGGCGTGAGTGGCTGAGAGAAATGATTTGACGGTGATTCGTAGTGACGGCGTGAGTGGCTGAGAGAAATGATTTGACGGTGATACTCCAAGAGCGTGAGCCTCCTTTGGCAGTGATTTTGAAAAAAGAAGAGAAGACAAGAGATAAAAAGCGGAATATATTTGGGCGCTAAAGATGAATTAATATATGATGACGGGTGAAATCACCGTCGCGAACTTTTACGCATGTGAATGGTATGGGGTGGCATTGGTAAGTCACCATCGTGGCTTCCATAATTGTTTTGTACGTGTATGCGACGGTATGTTCACCTTCGAGAAGTTTGGTAATTTTTAAGTAATTGGGCGCGATGGTAGGTCACCGTCGTGGCCTTTGATGAGTTTCTCGCCGTTTATGACTTGATTCTTTATTTCTTTATTTTTACCCAATGTATTTTTTCTCAATTTTAAACTCTCAAACTTTAATAAATTAATAGTAAGACTAGAATCTCAACTCAAAAGGCTGTCAAAACTTTTAACTAAGATGATCAATATGTGTTATAGTACTATGGGAATAGATTCTCTTGGAATTTTCATTGGATTTAGTTTGGATGGCGATGCTTAGTATACCGTCGTAATACGTGTCTCTATATTAGAGTTACGACAGGTATCAATTAACTGTCGCAATCTCTGTGTCGTAAAATGGTATTTTTCTTGTAGTGTGAGAATGACGCACGAAGGCAACATTCAAGTCAAAGAAACCAAGGCCCTTGCGCTCATTCAGAAGTATGAGGCATTCAAGATGGAAGATAGTGAATCCATAGAAGGAATGTTCTCAAGATTTCAAATTCTTGTTTCTGGACTGAAGGTTCTTGACGAAGGATATTCTACTGCTGATTACGTAAAGAAGATCATCAGAAGTCTACCCAAACATTGGAGGCCAATGGTCACAATCCTTAAGCTAGCCACCCTCCAAACCAGTGAAAGGAACATGATCAGTAACAGGTAAATCCAATAGGTAAGAATACTCCTCAAGTGTAGGCATCAACTGATAGTCGGGAAAAGTAAAGCAATGATACATCGGATCATAGAAATGGACCAAGGTCGAGAGAATACCCTCATTTATCTTTAGCTTCATGAGAGGAATAATGGATCCATATTTCTTCTGAAAGTCTGCAGAACACTCGATATCGGGAATTAGACTGATCAACTCATATATCTTGGGATCCTTGAAACTGTATTTCCCGGTCTTTCTCTTTCCAGAATCCATGGTTAGAAAGTACCTGAGATATTCACAAATAGTCAACCTTTAAATCCCTTGAAATATGGTTTCTTCAAAAGATGCTTATGAGTGCATGGATGCATGATGCAACAATCACACACAAGATCACACATATAGGGTTCATAGGTTCAACGTCACGAGCATGAGGTCAGAGGTACTACCCATAAGGTGTTGGTCTAAAAGTTATCACCTGTCGAACAAGGTTCTAGAAGTTCCCAGAGTCTACATCCTTCCTTCAGATATTACCAACTTCTTGATTAACTCGGTAATAAGTAATATTCTCAAGAAAGACTCGTCCGAGCGTAGTATCGCGTGACAACTATTTCCAGATTACTCCGTCATAGCTTCCGCACTACACCTAAAAGGCCAAGATGGGTTTAGTATTCTACGGTCCTCAGTTTCAGCAGGCTCCCAGGTCGAAAGCAGTACGTCTTCCCGATTACTTGGTAAACGACACTACAGTCAAAGGGGCCTCCATTGAGTGGGGGATCTCATGCCTCCTTTTTTGGGATTACTCCCTCAAATTTAACATGACTATATCGCCCGTCCTATCTTAAAGTTTGCCCATATTTGGGTATAGGACTTATGAGTAATCACCAAGCACCCTGAAAACCAGGAAAATCCAGACAAACATACATATAACATATAACACATAAACAGCAATAACACATATACATATATAAACAAAGATAGGTTTTACCCACTTAGGGATGGACCAGTAAGAGGTCAATCTTTCCCCAGTGAAGTCGCTATTTTTCTGTAGCGGTAGAAATATTTAAGACTAAGCCATTGGATTGACTAGACTTATACATATCAAAATAAAAATCGCCACTGTGCTTTATTATTTCCAAAGGAATGGGAAAAGAGCGAATAACCCAAAAAGAGGGGGGAAGATTCAAGGTAAGGGGGTTGGTTATGCAAAGGGAAGGTATTATCATCCTAAACATCTACGGTACTCTGCAGGAACCTCTTTGTAAAATCTGTATATTTTGGCTATAAAATGTTGTATGTAAAATAGATAGTGGAGGTGAGAAAAAGAAATATATTTTTTATGATTTGTTCACCCGCTGTGATTGCGAACCATTAGTGCCTACGTACCACCTTTCGTGCAATAGGGGATCAGGGTACACATAGTCCCTCTTTTTTTAAAAAAAATTTAAAACACAAATGTGTCGGTTAATTTTATGAGATAAAACATCATCGTCATTATCCGTGTGGAAAACATACCTACTACCCAAAATTATGAGAAAGGTGAATTTGCATCATCTCAAAGTGGAGGATATGGCTTGGATTTTAAAATCAACAATGCCTCACTCAATATCCAAGTGGAAAATATCTCTCTTCACCACATATTGTAGAAGTATAGTTGTTTGCATCACTACAAGGATTGACAAGAGTTCAATCTTTTGAGAAAAGTTTAAAGATAAAAGCCAAAATGGCAAGATGGTTTGAAATGAGATTGATTGACTTTTAGTCTTCTCACAAAAAATGTCAAGGTATTATTAAGTTGATTGGGGTTTATTTATGAAAATGTTTTGAAAATGCATGGACATAAGTCCAAGTTTATTATGAAAATGGTTCAAGTTTAAAAACAAGAAGAGTTCTCAAAAGGAGGAAGAAGATTTTTGAAATTAAAGAAGATGGGAGGAGAAGAAGGGACTATCCTAAAGCATAAGGTAAAAGCTAGGGATAAGATCCATCTAACCAACAAGAAGTCAATACTTGACATTATGAGCCAAGATAGAATTCCCATTCCTTGGATTGAAACCAATCAAGAAAAAAAAACACTAGACCTCTTGAGAGAACCAAACTTCAAGTGTATTAAGTCTTCATAAAAATTGGACAGAGTAACGACTGTATACGGGTGAATTCCAGATTACAAACCAAGAGTGTAATCACAAAAAACCTGCACACAAAAACAAACAAGCAACCCAATGTCTTGAGGTAAACCTCAAGAACTCCAGACAGAATAATCAGATAAGATCACCAGGTCTCCAATATAGGCCAAGGTTTCTAATCCTAAGTCCAAGAAAAGTCCCATGCTCCATAATGCCAAGGATAGTAACCAAATAGTCCAAGTACCATTAAATATTTTTCAGGGTTTATGTTGATTATTAAGTATCTTAAGAAAGGAAAAGAAAAGCTCAAGTGAGCAAAGTAAAAATGACAAGAAAGTAAATGCTCAAATGAGAAAATATGAACATGGCATGAAGTGTAAATGCTAAAAGTAAATGGTACATAAAGCATAAAAAAGAATAAAAGCATAAAGTAAGACAAGTCAATAATTAGTGGTTAGTTGGATGACCATCTTGAAGCTTGCATTTGGAACTCATTAGAGGATTGGTAGAACCAAAGCCTCCACACAACAAGTTGCATTTGCTTTTTGTCAAGTATATCATCCATTTAGAATTCTCACAAGTGCCATTTAATGATCAACAGTGTTTAAGTGATCCGCGTTGACCAAAGGTGTTGTAGATCCATTAGAGGATTGGTAGAACAAAAGCCTCCACACAATGAATCTCAAAGTTATTGGATCAAAGAGATCAAATTAACATACTTGGGCTTGCAAACATAAGTTTGGGCCACGAATGATCATTTATTCGAACCAGGACAAAATTTAGCGCTATGTTAAGCAATCGTAAGTGGACTTATATAGAAGTCGCACCTATTTTGAGGTCGGTCAATAGCAATCTATGCACCATTTATTTTGAGACATAATATAGAGATCATGATCCAACAACATTTAGCGCAATAAGAATGGGATGAGATGAAGAGGGATGTGAGAGAATATACAAATCACTTTTGAATTAAATTTAATCAAACTATTATTAAAATCATTCATCCATTTTTGTGGAGTTGAACTCAACACCATGGATCCAATGATGTTAATAAAGTTCATGATCCAAAATTTAACCCAAGATCAGCCATAAAATAGTCACAAAATAATATCACATTTAAATATATACAAAAGGGTTAAAAAATAATGTTTAAAAATAGAAAGTAAAGAGAAAAATATCAACTATGTTCAAATTAATCAAGAAATAAAAAATAAGACCATAGGAAACTTAGAAAAGGGCTAAAATAATTTTACAAATTTTTTGGTAATTTTTTAAAGTCAGAAACTATTTTTTAAAATTAAAATAAACCAAAAATGATAAAAAAAAATAGTAAAGTCAGAAACAAAAATAAAATAAGGTTACCAATATTTGTCACAATATCATTGGATCATTCCATAATTTTTTCAGAATTTAAAAATGTATAAAAGTATTTTTAAATATTTAAAATAAATCAAATAAAGTGTAAATTTATAAAAAATGCCAAAACACAAAATTAAATTGTGAAAAAATGAAAATAAAAAAGAGAATAATCAAAAATATTTTTCATAATTTTTTTAGATTTTTTGGACTGAAAATGAATTTTCTATGATTTTTTGAAATTTAAGACAATTAAAATATAAAAATCAGAAAAAGAAAATAAAAGTAAAATATGTGGACCATTGAATGAGAGTCAAAACGCGTTAGTAATCAAATCCAAGGGATCTGACGCGCTGTGCATATCATGGTCATTAGTGAATAATGTACATAATCATTAATTAAATCAGATTTAAAAAAAACAGATGACGCGCCTTCATTGGTTGGAAGATGACACGTTGGTCATCTTCAACCTCCAGCCAACACGAATTGTAGGTCTTTCAAACTGTAAAATCAGAAGCTCATACCTATGCCATTCGCTTCGTCTCTTCAAGACGAAGACAACCACACCCTCGCGCCAAATTTATATAAACTGTAGCTCAAGCAATTCGGAAGGAAAATTTTGAAAAGGGATTTGAAATTTCATGCTCAAAACGTATTTCCAGAAAGAGGTAAGTGTTGCGACTAGAACCAGGGCAATGAGAGCATCACAATGATATCAAAGTTTTGAAGAATTAATGAAGAAATCTACCTATTGAAGTTGAGTTGCAGAGCTCTGAAACTGGACTTCTATGGAGCATTATAGGGCACGATTCTCAAATGTAATTATATGGTTAGCTTCAGGGAAGATCAAGGAAGGTGAATTGATGGAAAAATTGGATTGAAAAAGGCTCGAGAATGGATTTTGAAGTTACTGAATTCTGAGTTATGAAACAAGTTTGACAGGGTGATTCTGACTATCTAAGCTTGAGAAAATGAATGAGATAATTCATGTATTTATAGGAGAAGCAAATGGGATAAAAAAGAAGAGTGAATGATGCGTTTTGGAGGGAATTTGTGCAAACCTGATGCACGAGTGAAGTGTGATCTAAACTTCACCAAAACTCATCTAATTCTTGCGTTTTGATGCGCTAATCCACTTGGGAAAGTTGGCTAATCATGTTTAGACCCAAAACGCATGCTAATTTGAGGTTTAGAGGTTGTAACATGAAATTCAAATTCTGACTTGCAATGAAACTTCAATTCCAAGTTACCACTTTTGAAACAATGACATTCTCAGCTCAAGGGGTCTTAAGGCATGATTCTTGATGCTTTAGAAAGATGAGGTTACAAGCTTTGTAATGGAAAAAGAATGGAGTTAAATGGATACTTCAGCTGAAAGTTGTATTGAGTCAAAGTTGAAGAAAAAGGGTTGACTTTCCATACTTAGAAATATTTCAAATTCTTCTTCAAAAATGACCTATAATGTCTTGCATCCAAACATGGATTTCCACTTAGAATTTGTTCTTGACCAAAAAAGATGGCATGAAGTAGATCTCTTGAATGACATTTTGAAACTTGAATCATTCAAAATCTCCAAAATTTGAGAGAGTTATGAATTGTTGAAGTTGGCAAAAATCATGAAATGACCTATAATCTTTTGTATCCTTAAGGCAACTTCCATCCATTTTCTCACTTTGCACATAAAAGAAAGCATAAAATTCACATCTTCAAGATCATTATGGAAAAAGAATGGACTCAAGGTGATAAAAATTGACCAAGTTATTAAACAATGTTTCTGCCAAAACAGTAAAAACGCAAGCAGCATGCTATAAAACGGAAGCATAAGTTAATTTCAAAGTATTAATAATAAATAAAGTAACATCATCAGCATATCATATACATGCCTCTCCCTGCCGTAATTTGAATGCCACATGATCAACATATCTAGTAAGCACATAATAATCACTAAGCACACCAGAAAGCCCTCCATCTGTGTGTACAGACGGCTCTGTCGAAGTCAGAGCAATGACCTATGTGTCAATAGTAAGAGTAACTTTAATATCGTATGTAGCAAGCGCCTCAATAGTCGTATGCAGAGTAGGAACCTCAATATTCGTCTCTGGAGTAACCTCTATAGTAGTCGCAGCCTCTGCCTTAGAAAGACGGGGCACATTTATTATATCTAAATGATGGGACACCGCAATCATCTCTGAAGGATTGTGCACCTCTTTCTCTTCCACCATCTGCATGTCATCATGAACCACTGCCTGAACATCAACTAGATCATCCTCATCATCTCTCGCCCATCTAGAAGTAGATCTAGATCCTATACCTCGGGTTGTGCAAAGTGCATGAAACTAAAACTGATCAGATAGTAGCCTCATGTGAGAACCAGTCGGAACTACTCTTCCCGCCCAGAGTTGTGAGTCTTCTACGTCACCTCACCTCTCTCGAACCTCAACAACAACAACTCTATCACAATTCCAACCATCAATTGTGTCATTTGATCCTCTGGTCTTCACTGCAAAAATAAAATAAATTTATCAACCTATCAGATTTTTCTAAATATCCGTCACAATTGTGAATATTTTCGGATTTTTCAAAAAAATGGTAGTGATGCTAAACATTTTTCCAGATTTTTAAAAAAATCCGGTAAGAATGCATATATGTTTTTGGATTTTTCAAAAAACATGGTAAAGATGCATACATGTTACCGGATTTTTCAAAAAATACGGTAAAAATGTATGCATTTTTATCGATTTTTTTTTAAATTCCGAAAACATGTATGCATTTTTATCGGCTTTTTCAAAAAATCCAGAAACAACATGCATTTTTAGTGAATTTTTCAAAAGATCCGAAAACATGTATGCATTTTTATCGGATTTTTAAATCGTAAAAATATGCATTTATTCCGAATATTTCCAAAAATACGGTAAAAATGCATGGAAAATCTGGAAAATAAACAAAAAAATGCGGTAAAAATATATACATACTGGGCATAAATTGTAAATGTGGTAGTCTTTACGAAATATTCAAAAATTGCTTGAGAAATTTGAAAAATTCAAAATTGCACAATAATTTTGTAAAATGTCTTCTAAAAATTTTACAAAAATAAAATAATAATTTTTTTTAATATAAAAATTATATATAACCAAAAACAAATTTTACACATAACGACCCATAGGGTCCAACTTACGCCTCCAAGACAAACCTAAAAACAAACACAGGGGTTAAACTGTAAGTAAGGAAGCAACATGCTCCCTAAGCTAAGGCTTCCTCCAAACTCAATGATATTGCTATATATTCTATATATATCATTTGTATTATGCTCTTCTTTATAAACTTTCTCATTCTTGTACAGCCAGCAAGCATAAATGGTTTCCGCAAAAGCAGTCTCAAAATCTTAGTTTTCCAGTTCTTATTCTTTCTTCTATGACTCATCCATTTCAGCTCTTGATACCAAGTTGATTTCGCTCACTATGAATATCTTATCAGTAATTATTATATCCTGCTTATTGCGATCTTGAAAAATGAAAATGCACGAGTGAGGATGGACCACTTCACAATAAATAATTATTGTTTACAATTTTTTTTCTCATTTGAATAATAACTATTCTAGTTTTTCCTCCCTCGTGTTCTGATTTCTTTATCAAGATTAGATATAGCAGTTTGGTCAAATTTTACAAAATTGATAAACAAATTTCAATACACGTGCTTCATAAAATTGACAACCGTTCTTGCAAGTATAATAATATTCTTTGTGGAAAATAATATTTTTAATTTTTAATATAATATTATGAGAAAATGACGAAATGATATTTTTATTCTTCTATGTCATTAAAAAAATTTAAAATAAAAAAATAATTTTATTAAATATATTAAAGATCATTTTACAGTCACTTTGATGTGTAATCTACGCTTAATCTTTTTCCTTCAATTTGTAGAATACTGTACAATCTATCTTTATATACAGAGAAGGTGGAAGGACACATTAGAGAGACAATTAACAACAAAGAACAGTAACATTAAACAAAACAAAAACAAAAAGACATGGCAAAAAAGAAGGGAAAAAAATCCTTAAAAGTAACATATTTATTTATGTTCTTAGTTCATTATCACATTGAATAAATCTTCATTCTTTTCTTGTTCCTCTATTACAAATACAAAGAAAACCCAATTCAATTTTGTGATGAATCATGATTATGATTATGATTATGATTATTCAAGTTGAGTTTTGAAATAGGGAGTTCAATTTTCATGGAAGCTGCAGCAACAATTTCAGCTGGGAAATTAAGCAAAGCCTTGGACCCTCTCATTTCAAAAGCAGCTCTATCATAAGCCATGGCAGCTTCTTCAGCCGTTTGAAAAGTTCCAAGCCAGACTCTTGTTCCATGACGAGCCGAGTCGCGAATCTCGGCCGCGTATTTCCCCCACGGACGACGCCGAACTCCTCTGTAGTGCTTCTTGGTGATAGCTTTTGCTGGTTCTAAGCCACTCTGAGATTGATGATGGTGGTTTCTTTGTGGGAGAAATGTGTTGCTTAGAGCATTAGCCTCGTTTAGGACTTGGTATATTACCATGTCTTGTGAATCGTTTTCGTTTAAAGGTAGTTCTGTTTGGGATTGGGATGATAGAACCATGGCTCTGTTTTTTCTCTGTTTTTGCTCTGTTTTTCTTGCTTTGTTTCTCTGTTTTTTGGGCCTTTGGTGTTGTGATGGTTTTTATGAATGAATAGACTTGAGCAGGTTGTGTTAATTGGCTATAGAATTGCATTATATAAGCATGACAATTTGGCAAATGTGGGGCAGTAGAATATTATGTGGCCTAGAGAAAAGTTTATGGAACACGAAGAAAAGTTGAATTCCTTTTTCCACTATGTTTATTTTGCCATCACTTTTCCTCTTATTTACAACATTGCACTAATTTTGAAAATGTTTATTTTAGGTGATGTGTCATCTCTTTCTAGAGCATTCAATAAATAGTATTAGAATCTTGGTTTGATTTGATGAATGAGCGACAATTATATCATGTATTAGATTCTATTAGAACAAGTATTAATTGAATTTGAGCAAACATAACCTGCTTATACAAAGCATTAAATGGTGCTTGATACAACTACAAATTAATACATACACTCTTCCTTTGTTTTATTTTGTTGTTGTTTCAACAATAGTGTTTAATGCATGTTCTTTGTTTGTTTCATGTTTCACATTGTTGTTCTAGTAGATGTTGTTTAGGCTTAATAAAGCCGTCGTTTCTCTTTCATATCCTTCATACTCATGATGATGAGTTTCCATTGTTACACCACCTAGGATCATTCAATTCTTTGAAGATTTAAATTGATATGGCACAAATCAATATAAGGATATAAACTGCAAGTTATTTCACAATGGAAATAAGGAGATAGAATGTACATTAATGTCCAAATTAACAAAGTTGACAATATTTTTTTTTGTATGCATCTTAAAATATTTGAAATGTGTATATGACATTTTTTGTGATTTTTTTATTTTATTATTTATAATGTAATTTAATTTTGAAAATAATAAATATTTTTATCTAAAAAATATTTCATTAAATAGATGATAACAACGAAGATATTCAAATTCAAACTGAACTTATTTGAGACAAGTTTGATTTTAATTATCCATCTTAATCTAGAATTGGGGCGAAAAGTGGAAATTGTTTAAAAATTTGAGTTTAGATTTAAGAAGAAAAAAAGTTGTTCTCAACGCACCCCGTTGCAATGCATGTCTCTCATGGCTAGAATTTCCATATATATGGACGATGAAAATGACCAGAATGTGTGTCATTAGATGATGAAAATGAAGATAGGGGTACGTCTTTACTTTTCTTCAGATGAATTAATTATATTTATAGATGAAAATTTAAGTAAAACTAAAAGAATGTTTAGTAAATACAAGAACTTAAAAGGTTCATGATATTTCAACTAAACATTACATTTTTTTTTAAAAAATGTGAAATTTTAATAGTTGAAAACAAATTTCTTAAAGATGAAGTTACAAAATCTCCAAAGGAAAGCTCCTGTAAAGCTTTGAAATGTAAGAATTCTTTTCAAGAATTTTTCTGCTAACAAAATGAATAGAGTAAGCTTGCTTCTATAGCTTCCAGAGTTAATAGAAATATAAATAGCAATTAGATACAACAACGTCAAAGTTACGATAAGATTGTTCTGGACTGCCTTAATGATTAAATAGAGTCTAATTCACTTCTGCGTGTAGGACGGTCTAATGACCTTGGTCCAATAAAACATGAAGGATAAATGATACTTTATCTCTTTTGCATCTCAGGTGAGGAGTCTTGGTCGACTGACCATCAAGGTCTGTACGGTTACGTCTGCCCGCTCAAACAGGTTATTCCTCATCCTGCCTAACTACACGAGAATAGACACCCAGGAACGATCAGAAATCACGTTTGCTCGTGAGACACTTCTATGTCCATTGTAGCGGCTAGTTACGAGTACCTCTGCCCGTCACAACGGCTAGTTTCTGGTAGTTACCTATTTTTGAGGAACCCCGTATCTAGACCCAAAAATAGGAACCAATGGCCAAGCCTCGGGGGCACTATATAAACCCTCACACTTGTGAGGGCCAGATATCCAATATTCACACTAAAAACTCTAATCTCATTCTTGTATCTCTTTGCACTTTTTTTTACTTAATCGTCAGAGTGCATTGCAAGTACACCTCACCCTTCCTCCTCATTTTCCAGCCTAGCAGACAAAATTATCGGTCCCTTGCAGGTTCTAATCAATCAGTAAGATCACTGGCGCCGTCTGTAGGAAACTGTTCCTCGTCTTCTTTTCTCCAGAAACTGAAGATAAAAGCAAACATCACCAGATTTCAATCATGGCTGATCACGAGGACGACCGTCTCACTGAAAAAACCATCCTCTCCCCCGTTCGTAAAGCTGATAATGACAAAGGATGCCCTTTCCTCGAGGACGTCCCTGTTAAACGAGACATATACACGGCGTCTCCCTCCTTCGTCCTCCTCTATCAAGGCCGACGACGATATCCATTTCTTGGGAGCTGGAAACTTCAAGAAACCTCAAGAAGAAGTGTTGACTGCTCCTTAACTAGTCCTAGTGTCAGCCAGCGCATATTCTTCCATGGCAACCCTGCTCGCTGCTCTGAGTCAAACCAATTCCCTGATCTTTCGTTAGAATAATAGGATCGAGGCCTTGGAGAAGAAACATTCAAGATCTCCTCCTCAGAGATACCGACGACGAATCTCGTACAGTCTTTCACCACAACCTCATAGTCATCAACCAATACGAGGGAAACCAGATATTGCACTCGACAGAAACCGCAATCACTCGCCCCCTCGAAGGGACCGCCGCTCCCTAAAGAAGACATGAATCGAGCCGCAGGGAAGACAATCAATATTCGCCTTCGCCGAGGTCCAAGGTTAAACCGAGGAGCACATCTCCTTGGTGAGCTGATAGTCCACGACAAGGAAGGAACTACTCTCCTCCTCGGCCCAAGAGATGAAGCGACGATAACGACGACCCATGTGACCCGTTGTAGCGAGAAATCATGGAGACACCACTCCTAACCGGAATTGAGAAACCTCCTCGCCTGGGGACATACGATGGGACCATTGACCCAGACGACCACCACAAAAACATCGACGCTTTGCTCGATTATCGAAATGTCAAAGGCGTCATAAAATGCATATTGTTCCCCACCACGCTCAAGAAATTAACTATGACATGATATAAGAGTTTTCCCGACGAATCAATCACATCCTGGAGGAACCTCAGAAAGCAATTCTCTAGGAATTTCACGACTTCTCGTCGGCACCCAAAGTCAGAAGCATCACTCAACGAGATCATCCAAGGCAAGGATGAATCCCTTCGGGAATAAATTGAGAGGTTCAACAACAAGGCCGTGCAGGTCTACACCACTAATGACATGAAGAAGTACCTATTAGAGCACGGATTGCGCCCGTTCAACAACTTCATGAAAGTCGTTGGCATCGAATCTCCCTCCTCGCTGGATGCTTTCCTCTTAAAGACACAGGCGTACATCCAGTACGAGGAGAAAGAGACTTCTAACTCCGCCCGAGACTAAAGGCACTAGGAGAATGCCAAGGGTTTAAAGTATGACGACCCCTTGACATCTTGTAGGGGAGGGGAGAAGAGAAATAAGGACAAAGCCTATGACTCACGAGAATACAAGGAACCTCCTGGTAGTTTTCACGACTACACGCCTCTTACCACCTCTCGCGAGTGCATCCTAACCGACTGTGCCAACTCGGTGTTTCTCCAGGAAGGAGTTCTGTTTCCTCGACAGACGTCGTCCAAGCCAGGGACAGACAAATCCAAATATTGTAGATTCCACAAAAGCCACAGGAACACAATGGAAGACTACATCCACTTAAAATATTCCATTGAGATCCTCATCAGGGATGGGCATCTCAAGTAATATAAGAAGAATGACGGTTCTCTCGAGGATGCACCCGAGTCAAAGAAAGTTGAGGAAGATAAGCCTGCCTCAGACAATATCAACATGCCCGTATCTATATGCATCTCGCGGCTCGACAATTTCTACATCCCCAACGAAGCCGAGGTCCCCATGTACTTCGCGATACATAGTCCCTGGGAGACATCCATGTCTGCCATGGTCATCTCCAGTGGAGGCTTCAACAAATTTACTATGGACTCGGTAAAGAGAAGGTTCGAGCGACTCATTGAAGCAAGCTCTAACCAGAACTCCACCCTCGACAAATTTAGAGGAAACTCCATCCCCATTTGCCTTTTACCGCGAGAAGTTGTCCGAAGGGGCTCCAAATGCAAGCATCCATCTACTCGTTCGGGCGGAAATGGAAAAATTTGATGTCAGGCGGATCCTTGTTGACCAGGGAAGCTCGGTGGACATCATTTATTCCCAACTATTCACCATCCTGCAACTCAATGAAATGCACCTGACACCTTACGTGGGCTCCAATCTCCAAGGGTTCAACGACGCGGTCACCAAGCCATGGGGTTTCATAGAATTGATTGTTACTTTTGGGGTAACTGAAATGGCATGGTCTATCAAGACCCAGTTCCTAGTGGTGGTCTGCCCCTCCTTATACCAATGCATCTTCGGAAGGCCAACTATGGTCGAACTCACAGTTGTACCTTCGACAATACACCTGAAAATGAAGTACTACACTTCAGAAGGGCTGGTTGCCACCCTCCACAAGGATATAAACGCAACAAGGGGGGTTCTTCGAGGCAGATTCCAAGGGGAAGAACATAATCAACGCACCTCTTAGAGCAGCCAACAGACCTCCCTGACCGAACAGTTCTGAGGAACCAATGCCATTATAGTGTGTCGATACAATTGACCTCGGCAGTCGGTTCTCTGAAGACGACCTGCAGGAGCAGAAGTGGAAGGGGAAGGAAATCCAGCCAGTATATACTTCCTTGACCATGACCACCATCTACGAAGATCCTTCCCGGTGTTGTACCCTAATTTTCCCCCTAAGATCCCCTCATCATACCATGTTGATTCCATCACAACAAGATCACATTAGGATTCTTGGTTCCCCTTCCTATATTTAGCTTTGCTCTTTGAGGAATCACCAAGCACCTTGACTTGTGTTCTTTTGTGATCATGAATATTTTTGTA